CTGATCATTCAAGGAGTGGAATTTGCAGGGAGAAATGTGCCTATAAGAAATGTCTTCTCAAAATGTCAGTGACATTTGCTCAGAGAGTGACAAATCACATCACCTTGTTATTTTCTCACCAACCCTAGGGAGCCGTGTTTCATATACAAAAACCCAGACATTGGACTCTGATCCTTCACTTCAATTTTGTAGCTTCATCACTTATTAGCTACAAGGCATTAGGTAAGTTATTTAACCTCTCCGAACCTCAGTTGCTCGATCTCCAAAATGAGGACAATAATACTTTCTTCTCACTGCTACTGTAGGGGAGAGAGATGCCTTTAAAAGAACTGGGACATAGAAGGATGACGAACCATCATGTACGGAGTGTTCACTGTGCTGTTCGGCTCATCATTTGTGGAGCTAGAATCCATGGCTGTTCTTACTAATTGGACTCACACTGTGTCTTTCAGTATTATCCACAGTAGCTGATTTTACACTTACTAATGGCTCATCATGCACTCTTCTGTATGACTGTCACAAACTTCTATGTTCTTCTCTAAGCAGAGGTAAGGCCCATGTGTTTGTTCACAGTCTGATTTCTCTCACAGCGTCTATGACATGTCTGCAAGCATGTGGCTCAGCTATGCAGATATTAGACAGATCTCCCATGCGCTCCAGCTCTTTCCTGTCATTCCTTTGCACAATAATCCCCTCGCCATGACACTCTTCAAGAACAGAGAAGACATGTGCCTGGGCAAGAGAAAGAACTGTCTGTACTCACTTCCACCAGGGACTTTTTGATGACTCGGCTGATGTCCCTTCTCCACTCAGGGATGTCTGGGTTGTAGTCGTCCAGGTTTGGAGAAAAGGACAGGCGAAGGGACCGGAATTCCTCTGGGGATGCAATAGCAGCGTGATTACCATAAGTCAAATAGTTCTCTTGAGCAGTCCGTTACACTTTATATTTTATGTAAAGCCTTAATGGAGGGTCCTTTTTCTCCACACTCACCAGAGAGACCCTATTAGAAGGAAGACACATTCAATATCCCATCTCTGCTATTGCTCAGCTCCTCATTTTCCAGACCAAAGCCTGAAGCTCTGGCCTCTGCCTAGATCAGTGGCCTTTGTCTATTCTTCCCAGTTTTAGACTCTGCACTCCTGGACACTAAATGACCCTGAGTGCCCTGAATGCATCGCAGTTTTATGACCCTCGGCCTTTGTACACACTGTCCCTTGCCTAGAATGCCCCACCCTTCTCAACTTCCATGCACACAATATTCAAGTTCTAGTTCGAGCATTTATTGACTGAATACCCTCTCCCACCATGTTTTAATTTTCTTTTTTATGACACAACTTGTTTTGCACATACTTCCATTATTATTATATGATTGTATAATAACTATATGATTATGTAATTATAATTATTATTAGAGTCACTCTACTGCTATTTTGTATTTGCATGGAAGTTTCATTTAATGGAATTTTAAGCTCCATAGTTCAAGGGTTTTGTTAATCGTCTCTGTAGCCCCTGAGTCAGTCCTGGTCCTCCAAGAATTAGATAGAATTATAAAAGCAAGGATTTTATGAGGAGAATCATCTGTGAGAGAATATGGGGAGGAAGCCAGAGGAGCTTGAAGCACCAACAGACTTCGATGTATGAGATCTGTTGTATGACACATAGCGAAAGAGAGGGAGGAAGGATGGGTGACTGCTCTGCGGTCCGAGGGAGGTTCAGAAAGATTATCAGGGACACTTCCAGCCAAAG